GCAGGTCATTAACATGTCCGCTACATGGATGTTACATTAACAGGCATGGATGTTAAGAAAACGCATAGAATGAAGATATGTGACACCGGATGGAGAAGATTTGGAAAATGACGCGGACTTAATCATAACATCCCTGGTTAACTGACTCTCTGCTGCCACCTGCTGGCGCAGACACAACGGTGCAGTGACGTGGACTTTTAATCTACATTTTACACGTATTAAACTTCAGAAGTTTTTGGTTTAAGTCCTTAAAACTGAGGGTTTGTAGATAAACTGGCAAGGATACGCAACAATATTCCATTGGCTCACAATATATACTGAAAAAAATTAAACTCCCACTATTTAAGGTAAAAAAAAAAAACGTGTAATTAAGTAAGAGTAGCACAGTTTCAATATAGTTTTACTCATTGTAAAGCAAAATAGTTGCCATCCAATAACCTTTTTTTTTAACGGATATTGTAAAAAGTCTGGTCAAGTACTAGGTAACTAAGCTACTGATTATGATCATAATGTCTGATTTATTATTTTACAAATTATATAAACTTAAATAATATTTAAACACCTTGTCTACTTTTAAGGGTAGGCTTAAAACTTTCCTTTTTGATAAAGCTTATAGTNGCGCCCTGGGGGGTGAGCTATATAATTACAATACAGGAAAATTAAGACATTGATGAATGTAAAAATGTAAATTGTATGCAAGGAAAATACATGAACCCAGTTAAAAGCTTGGGGAAATTTGTAATCAAGTTGTAACATCAACAATATTAAAATCTCTCCATGTTTCCTCTAACCTCAAGGAAAACTAGAATTTTTGATTATTTACTAAAATGTACCATCCATCTAAGCGATGTGTCCCAATATCCTTCAAGAAAAGCGCTTCTCATTAATCCTTAGCCACATATTCCTCTGGGGGCCCGCAGGGGCCTCCTGAGCCCCGTGCAGCCACGAGACTTCACCCAAACTCACGAGCGCCATGCAAACATCCGCTCCATTTTAAAGCTAGCGTAACAAGCACGTTAAATCCTTTTTGGCTGAGTTGTTTCTTGCTCCTACGTCCGAAGAAAGTTTTTAGAGAGCAGCTCGTTGAGTTGAGCTTCAGTGGAGGCAGCCATAGATCCGCCGCCATATGTGAAGCTCGCGCTGACCGAGCATTTAGAAAGCAGCTGGAGGCTAAAGCTGCGCTTAAATCGGATGTTTTAGCTCTAACTACACTGCTAATGAGTTTGATTTTGTTTGTTTTTTTCCGATGCATGAAAAGGAGGAACTCACCAGCTGCTGTCCTGCAGAGTCCTTCCAAATCTATCAGAGGTCAGCAGCGGAGAGCGACTCCAAGCACCCGCCCCCTTCTTTGAGTTGCACAGCCGAGATAAGGAGGGGATGTTGTTCCTTTGGCTGAACGTGTTTGTCTGAACGGATTCCTTCTTCTCCTCCTGCTGCTCCTCCTGTTTAATCCAGCCTGTCTGTCAACACTGGGTCATGCCCTGTTTCCCAACTTCCCGCTGCAGCCAGAACCGCTTACTGACACAATCAAAAGTAACGTTTCACGCAGATTATTTCTCTCTGAGCTGTCACTTCTTTTTCCTGGAGTCATTAGTTTCTCCTTTGCTGTGCAGAAAGGAAGGGGATATATGTATGAACGTGTTAAACCTGGTTTATGCAGGGCTCTGGTTGTATTTTTCCTCTCTTAAGCCCCGCCCACTCCTCCTCATTGGCCAATTGTAGTTTGTTTACAGTCTGGGGAGTTATATCCGGGAGGCCCCATGTTGCTGCTCAAGAAAAAACATTGCTGATCGGCTCTTTCTGCAGGTCATTAACATGTCCGCTACATGGATGTTACATTAACAGGCATGGATGTTAAGAAAACGCATAGAATGAAGATATGTGACACCGGATGGAGAAGATTTGGAAAATGACGCGGACTTAATCATAACATCCCTGGTTAACTGACTCTCTGCTGCCACCTGCTGGCGCAGACACAACGGTGCAGTGACGTGGACTTTTAATCTACATTTTACACGTATTAAACTTCAGAAGTTTTTGGTTTAAGTCCTTAAAACTGAGGGTTTGTAGATAAACTGGCAAGGATACGCAACAATATTCCATTGGCTCACAATATATACTGAAAAAAATTAAACTCCCACTATTTAAGGTAAAAAAAAAAAACGTGTAATTAAGTAAGAGTAGCACAGTTTCAATATAGTTTTACTCATTGTAAAGCAAAATAGTTGCCATCCAATAACCTTTTTTTTTAACGGATATTGTAAAAAGTCTGGTCAAGTACTAGGTAACTAAGCTACTGATTATGATCATAATGTCTGATTTATTATTTTACAAATTATATAAACTTAAATAATATTTAAACACCTTGTCTACTTTTAAGGGTAGGCTTAAAACTTTCCTTTTTGATAAAGCTTATAGTGGCTCAGGTTATCCTGAGCTATCTCTATAGTTATGCTGCTATAGGCTTAGACTGCTGGAGGACATAGGGACCCCTATTATATGATTTTGCTTCATTCTATCTCTATTATTCCACTCTGCAGAATCTGTTAGATTAATCTCTAATGTTCTGTTCTCTCTGCTTTTTCTATTAGTAGCTTTGCCACTTTTGTTCCTGCCTGGCTGTGACACCACCTTGGAGAGAAATATTAGCTGTGCTGCTGCCATCAACACCCTTGTTTATAGATGTTGGAGATCTGTTTTTCCAGTGTAGTCCTGTTTCTCTTACTGTGACTGGCTGGATGTGCTCTCTTCATCCTCTGACATGGGAGCTGGCTCAGAGCTCGTCTTCCTGGCTGTGGTTTTCATGGACGGGGACGCCTTTTACAGCTGCTTTTTGTATCTCTGCTTCTGTCTCCTTGAACCCAAGTCGGCCTCAGCAGATGGCCGCTCACACTGAGCCTAGTTCTGCTGGAGGTTTCTTCCTCTTAAAAAGGGAATTTTTTTCTCTCCACTGTCACTACAAGCATGCTTAGTGTGAGGGATTGCATCCGAGTCAATGAGTTTATGCAATCAACTGGTTTTCCTTAAATAGAAAACTTTGAATCAATTCGACTGTATGATCTGGTGAACTGTAAAGTGCCTTGAGATGACATGTATTGTGAATTGGTGCTATATAAATACACTGAATTGAAATTAAACTGAATTAAAGTGATATGTAAATTCTTGTGTTTGAAAAATAAGATTGTAAGAAAATAAACAACGTACACTAATGAACAAATTTCAGGTGGAAGAAATACATTTCAAATTATATATTATAATTTATTTTTTTAATATACAAATGATGAAACCCAATTATTTTTATGTCTATAGGTTAGAATAGAATATGTTACCTTTAGTAACAAGGTGCAGTAAAGTCTTTATTGAATTTTTACTTGACATGACTTCTTGATATTCGTGTCGAGTATGCAACATTATTCTCTTGTTGTAGGGATACTTTATATTATTTACTCAAGTAAAAATAAAATTTACAATTCAGCAAAACTACTCGTAAAAAAACCACATTTTTTTTCTTTTTTCAAAAAAGCACTCAATTAAATATAACTGAGTAAAAGTAACTAGTGAGTACACAGCTATGAATTTAGGAAGCAAATATGCTGGAGTTACTTACACTGGTGCTTTCATTGGCCTCTACAGTTTTAAGGCATTTTAGATGATAAACATTAAAGAGATTAAGGTGTTATAGTTGTTGCTAATTGCAACATTTTTGGGGATCCTGTGGAATGTTTCCTTTAGTTTATATATTTATTTGTTGGTAAATGTTTTCAGAAATGATAGTTAAAAGTAGCTCAAACCTGATGTAAAAAAAAGTTTTGTTACTAATGACATGTGCCACACGTGGGACCCTATTTCAATCAAATTTCATTATAAATTCAGCATTTTCATAATGACTTATATAAAATCCTTTATGAATAAACAAAGAACATTAAATAATTTCAAAGGCAAAGCTCAAGTTCTATTAAAACGCTCTTTATTTTTGCTTAGTTATCTTTTTAAAATGTAAAAATGTTTAAAACATAACTGATATTTAGGATTTTAAGGGCAAAAAATGTTGAAATATTTCTATCCAAATAAAAAGGCCAGATCTTAAAGCCAGACCTCATTATGTGATTTCTGTGAATTAATTCGAGTTAGATTCTCAGAAACATAGTCGGCAGATCAACAGCAGAGGGCATGCAAATCTTTCTGATGCTACATAAACATGATTTAGTTTGTCCAAATAAAAAAAGTCTCAATCCTCTTGAATTAGAAAGTCTTCTATTAAACTATGCTGATAATACACCCATACCCATTCAAGTTATAAAAACTATACTACAGAGCTCAAGCTCGAGCAAAATGTTATACAAATTAATGTAGTCAGATAAAATTGTGGATTATTAAAAATTAAAGAAAAAAGTTCCCCTGCTGTAGAAACTCTATGGATTGCAATGCAAAGATAAGAAATAGCACAAATATTATAAAACTGATTTATATGTATCATAAAAAAAAGTTTTAAGCTTTTGCTAAAACACTCCAAAGGAGTAAGATCTCCAGTGTGTCCACTCACCTAAAAAGAGGCGTGTGCGAATCACGTCTTTTCTTTCTCAACAGCTCCGGATGCCACTGCTGTTGTGGACAGATGTGATTTGAATGGCAAATAAGCCTCATGCAAACACACTAATTAATGTGGGCAAGAGGCAGGAGCGCTGGAGGGGGTCACCGCTCCAGAGGTGAAATGATCACTATGGATGGATGGATGGATGGATGAATGGATGGATGGATGGATGGATGA